TGGGGGAAGTGGGTGGGGTAGCCCTGGGGTGAGGATGGAAGTGGGGAGGGAAGGCCAGGGCTGGACACCAGTGGGATCTTTTGCCAGCTAGCAGAGCCAGCCCCTTCACCCGTGTCTGAGAACTGCTAGCTCCAGGCAGTGGAGGTAGAATGGGGGCTCCCCTCCTCTGCTGGGGTGGCCCTGGAGGTGGCCTGGGTGATAGGGATAAGTGGGACTGGGGTGGTGGGGCTTTTCCCACACACTTCCCCAATTCCCAGGAATTGGTCCCACCCTTGCCTTCACCAGCTGTGGGTGTGGTTTCCCCTGAAGTGAATCCACCTCCCTGCTGCCCCGGGTTGTCCCAGGAGGCAGATGCTGCCCCCTGCTGCCAGCCCACCCTCCAGTCTGAAGGACGGCAGGCCCCGAGTCTCCTCTGCTGGACAGGCCTCGGGGCTGGGTTAGCCAGGCATTGGAGGTTATGGGGCTAGAAAGAGGCCTGCATGTGGTTGTGGAGAGCCTGGGAAGGACGGGGAAAGGGACCGGGACCGGGGGGGCCTTGTACCACGCAGGCGGTCTCGTGGTTCTTCTCAGTCTCTAGGAGAATGGCACAGTGCTGCTCGCACAAGTCCAGGTGCCCCTGGAGCAGAGAGATCCGTGCCAGTTCCATCACCACCTGGAACAAGGCAGGAAGTAATAAACGAACGAGGGACATCATGGGACAACTCTGGGGAGGATGCCTCGCTCTCTCATACCCCAGCTCTATCAGCTCTGCCTCCAAAATAAGTCCCAAGTTCCCTGGGAGAACTGGCCCTCCTCCTCTCCCACCAATACTCCAGCCACACCACGCGTTTCACTAACTACCCTCTCGGAGCCGGGGGCTGATTAACTTGCACTCATCCCTCGGCTTTAACTCCGACCTCACCTTCTCTGGGAAGCCCTCTGTGCCCCAGACTCTGGGACAGGTGCCCTTCTTCCAAGTTCCCATAGTGTCCTGACCCACACACAGGCACGGATCTCGTGGTATTAGAACTGCACGTGTACTTGTCCACAGCCCCTTGCCTGAGGACAGTCTGTGCACAGGGACTATGTCTTGTCCCACTGTGTCTCCAGGGCCAAGCATAGCACCTGGCATGTATTAGAAATCTGTGAGGCGAGCACGTTCAGTGAATGAATGGGTCTGTCATGAAGCTTTTCATTTACTCTCTCTTTTTTTTTTCCCCTCACCCAAGGATATTTTTTCCATTGCTTTTCAGAGAGAGCGGAAGGGGGAGAGAGAGAGAGAAACACCGACGTGTCATTGATTGGTTGCTTCCCGCACATGCCCCAACGACAGGTGCTGGGGATGGAGCCTGCAGCTGAGGTTCGTGCCCGTGGCCTGAATCGAACCCGGGACCCTTCATTCCACAGGCCGACTCTCTAACTACTGAGCCCAACTGGCTAGGGCTTCATTTACTCTCTTAGGGTGAACTCCAGCCACCATTCCCTAACTGGAGCCCTACCTCCCTCAAGACTCTAAACCTCCTTGGAAACTTAGCCTGGGCTTCGTGCCCAGAGTCCCTGGCAGTCACACTCTCATTGTCTCCCCACCTCCAAGGGGGACCTGAAGATGCCAGACTAACATGACTTTCAGTAATGTCTCCCTCACTCCACCTTCCATGACTGGCCATCAAAGTGGGGCTCCCCAGCCTTGCTCCAAGGGCTGTGGTGGGGGAGGCCTGGGCGTCAGCTAAAGCAGGCTCCTCCTCACATCAGGGGTCCCATGCCCCTTACACCTGAGCTCCTCAGGGAGGTGCAGAGAAGGAACTAGCCTGTGGCCTGGTCAGGGAGCTCAGCAGGGCATCGTGCCCTAAGAGAAGGAGCAGGGTCTGGCTTTGAGGACCCCACCTCGTTGTCAGTGGGCCAGTGGGAGAGGGCATCCTTGTAAGACCGCACTGCCTTGGCATACTCCTTCTCTGCCAGATAGTGCTCCCCAAACCGGACGCAGATGGAGGCTGCCAGCTGCTTCTGGGAGGGGATCATCTCCGGTTGCTCCAGCGGAACGCGCTTCAGTATCCGAGACTGGAGGTCCAGGGCCTTGGGAAACCAGTAAACTCAGGGTCAGAAACCTGGAGGCTGATGAGCCAGACCTCAGGCCAATTCACAGGAAGTCCCCAGCTCTCATGTTAGGGCCTGCAGCGCTAGAAAGGGCATCTTAAGTGCCCTTGAGCAAATCTGGGTCACTCTGGACACGTGAGGCCACTGGCTGAGTGCTTGGGAGGCAGCTGGCATTCCCTCTGGGGCAGGAGCTGAGCAAAGGCACTCAAACAAAACACTCTATTGTACTCGACTTGTTTACCTGTTTCCATCACACCTTGGCACTTACTGTGTCAAATTTGCTGAGGCCCTCCTGCAGGCTAGAACAAGCACACAGTAGGTATTCAATGTAAGGCATGTTTTTTTTTTGTTTTTGTGGGTTTTTTAAATTTTTAAAATTTATTTTATTTTTTAAAATTCTTTAAAAATATATATATATCTTTATTGATTTCAGAGAGAGGAAAGGAGAGGGAGAGAGAGAGATAGAAACATCAATGATGAGAGAGTCATTGGTCAAGCCCACAACCCGGGCATGTGCCCTGACCGGGAATCGAACCCTGATCGCCTGGATCCTAGGTCGACGCTCAACTGCTGAGCCATGCCTGGCCGGGCTGTTTTTGTATTTTTTAATATATCTTTATTGATTCCAGAGAGAGGAAGGAGGAGGGAGGGGGGGAGATAGAAACATCAATGATAGAGTTGTCATCAATTGGATGCCTCCTGCACTGGGGATCAAGCCCGCAACCTGGGCATGTGCCCTGACCGGAATCTAACCTCGATCTCCTGGATCCTAGGTCGATGCTCAGCTGCTGAGCCACGCCTGGCCAGGCACAAGCCATGTTTTGATGGATGTGCTTGTTCTGAATATTGCCCTGCTGGGAATGTGAGGCAGCCCCCACAAATGTCCATGACGTGCAATGACCAAGGGAGTAACTAGAGAGCATATCGGGGCAAGAGGAAATGATGATGCCAGGGTTAAGTTTCAGGAAGAGGGCACACATCAGCACTGGGCTCCCTGGGGGCCAAACAGAGGAATGGGACCCCTGTGGCAAACAATGGAATAAATCACGCAGTCAGAGTGGGCTCTCCCTCTACAACTACAGAATGCACCCCAGGAACAAGCGCCAGGCCACATCCTTGGGCAGAAAGAGTGAGGAAGGCAAGGCGGGAACAGCCAGGAGCTGTCCCATCTGGGGCAGCCCAGTGGGGAAAGAGCATGGGCTGGGACCGGCCATACTTGGTTCAAATCTCAGCTCCACCACTTACTAGCAGTGTGACTTTGGGCACATTTCTTAATCTCTTCGAGCCTTATCTGTTAAATAGCAACGTCACAGTGCTCTTTTCTAAGGGCTACTGTGAGAATTAAATAAGAAAGCAAAAAGCCTAGTACAGAATCCAGCATAGAGCTACAGGCATCGTTTATCATCGTCACCACCAGCACCCTTGAGGACAAGCGTTATCCTGCTCCCTGCCTTCTCCAGTCCGGCCCAGCCCAGCCCAGCCCAGCCCAGCCAGGCTTAGAGCACTTGGGTGCACCATCCATCAATGAGCAAGGGGGCGGGGGGAATAAATGGGAGGTGGAGCTCAGAGGTGTAACCAAGTCCTCTTCTGAGGACCAAGCCTGGAGACGTCCAAACCTTTCGTCCTATTCTTCCTTCTCAGCCCCATCAGAAAAAGGCAGATTAAGGAGCTTGTACCTACTCGTCAGTTACCTTGTTCAGGGTTTCCAGCACGTCTTCTTTCTTATGGCTCTTGTACACCTTTGCCAGCAAAAGCAAGCACTTGACATCATTCATCATGGATGGGATGTCTGTAGCTGCAACATGGAAACGCAAATTAGTGTTGTCTGCCCTTTGGGAGGCTGGGGATGGGGAGGGGGGCTGGGTTCAGGACCTCAGCTGGTGCCTGGTCCCTGCACCAGTCTGCAAGAGAAGAGAGAACGGGGTGGGGGGCAATGCACCTGCCCCCAGTGCGAGGGTAGTGAGTTCGAATGCTGCCTCACCTACGTCATGTTCCAGCGCCTGCTTCAAAACCTTTTCTGCTTTGTTGAACTTCTTTAACCTCAGGAGCAGTTCGGCCAGATCACAGCACAGAAAGTCCTGTCCACTAATCTTCTGGGCGGCCTCGTAATAATTAATTGCCTTAGTGCAAACAGGAAATATTGGCATCAGGTCTGGTTTTACACTGGAGCGCCTCACGCTGGGTTCCCCTCAGCAGCCACCACACCTGTGGGCCCCTCCAGAACACGGAAGCCTAAGTTGAAGAGGCCCTCCTGGCTGGCAGGGCTCAAGCTTCAACCAGAGCTGGTGGGGAGCGGTAGAGAGTTGCTGAGTTCCCCCCTCGGCACCCCATTCAGCAGAGAGTTAGGAGGAAACTCACGCACTCCCCCTCCCAGCCAAACCCTTCCTCCCACCCATGCACCCTCCCCTATCTTCCCTGCTGGGCCGGCCCTCCCCTCCTCTCCCCACCCAGCCCAGCCTGACCTTGGTGTACTGGTGAGTCTTCACGTAAGCTTGCCCGATTCTGCTGACCAGGGAGGCGTCGTGTGGGTTCTTTCTATAGGCCTCGTCATAGACCTCCAGGGCCTTCTCCGGCTGGTGGGGAAAGTGTCAGAGGTCTCTCTTCTCTCCCACTGGAGAAGTGAGATTGGGGGGCCACTGGCAAGGCCATGAGGCCCTTGCTCACCTCCTGAATGTTCATGAAAGCATCACCCAGTAGCAGGCTGGTGTGGGGGCCAGGCAGATGTTCACAGAGCTCCCTGCAAAAGGAACCCAAAGCTGATCTCAGACTTGTGCATCTTTCAAATTCCTGAGTCCATCTCCTTCTCTTCTTTCCACTCACTCTGGTTGACATTCAGTCATTCAATCACTCATTCATTCATCCATCCATCCATCCATCCATCCATCCATCCATCCATCCAATACCCATTGAAATCCCAATGTGATGAGGCATTGTGCTAGCTACCTTAGTTCAGGCTCTCCTCATGTGTCACCCGGATCATGGCCAGAGCCTTCACCCATTCCTCTGGCCTCCACTCAGCCCTCCAGACCCCTCTCTATGAGGCAGCCACACTGCTCTCTAGAACTCCAATCTGACCGTGTCACCCCACTGTTTACGGTTTCCCACTGCCATTGGGATAGTTGCCTCTATCCCCAAACCAGCACTCTCCTCTCACCTGAATTGCCTAGATGGAGTTTTGCCTGAGGAAAGGGACTGGGAAGGTACCCTCTGGGTCCCAATGTCATACCATAGAGAGACCTCCTTGGGGTGTTCCCACAGTTCCCCCAGAATGTGAGCCATACAAGGGGATGGAGGCAGGGCTCAGGGCTGATTCAGTTCGGTGTCCTTAGGACTCAGCAACGAGCCAGCCTGGCTGACCTACCAGGCTCAAATTCTAGCCCACGGGACATTTCATACTTTCGTCAATGCCGCTGGAGAGGAGGCTGTGGGTGCTCTGCCGGCAGCTCACCGGTAGCATCCGATGTAGAGGCCGATGTCCTTGCGGGTCTGCAGGTAGATGCTGGCCATTTTCTCCTTGGCTTCCATGTAGCAGGGCTGCTTGGGCGTGATGTTCCTGAGCATGCTCAGCGCCATGTCCACGCTCCCCTTACTCAGGGCCAAGTCCACGTTGGCGATGGTGATGCGGATCTCTTCCGGCGTGCCGCTGAACTCATTGATGGCATCTTGCATGACCTTGGTGGCCTCGTGCTAAGACATGGGAACCGAACAGACCCTCCATTTGCCGCAGCCAGCCACAGGTGGCCTGACACCTAAAATCTCTTCTGGGAAACTGAAAGCAATCACCCTTCCCAACCTGGCCCGGGAGAGAAATGAAACACGGAGAGCAGTCGTGCTACATGGAGGCCAAGCACAGGCTGACCCACCTCCACCTGTGGAGGGGCTTCAGTGGCAGAAAGAAAAGAGATCACTTTGGTGTCCAGGGCCCCTCCTCCTTGAGATGCTAATGAGGACAGTGACATAGGCAGGGGACAGATAGGGCAGGTCCCAGTCAGGTTGAGACTTTATCTTGAGGGCCATGGGAGCCACTGAGGCCTTTTAGGCAGGAGAGATGTGCTCTCAAATAAAGGCTCGAATAACTGCCCGAGTAAATATTAGCCAGAATTGAAAGGTCCGGTGCTCAGGCTGAGCCCCAGGCCCAAGGAAGAGGAGCATGGCCTTCCTTACCAGCTCCCCGTTCATCCGGAGGGCATCGGCCAGTTCCAGCAAGACCGACACCCGCTCGCTGGGCCGCATGGAGGGCCTGCGGAGCTTCTTGCCTTCCTCCGTCTTCAGAGTTGGTAACTTGATGATCATTTTCAGTGTCTTGATGGCTTCTGGATAGTCCCCAGACTTGTTGAGGGCCCTGGCCTTGATGAAGTGGTAGAGGGGGTGGTCTCGGACCTGGAGCAGAGCAGAGGGTGGGGTTCATAGCACCACGGGAGCCCACGGAGCCTGCCCCCCCCTTTGGGCCAGCAGCATGATCTGAGGGATGCAGGGAGCTCCAGGGCCCTCTCTCCCAAGGCAAGTGGGGACTGCAGCCAGCTGGGCCTTGGGGTGCTGAGTGGGTGACGGGCACAGAGGACTCCTACCTGGAAGTTGTGGCTGACGCCCAGCTCTAAGCAGTGGGAGCACATGGCAAAGTTGCTCTGAGCCAGGTAGATCTGGGCCATGAGGAGGTGGGCATCCACGGAGGTGGGGTCCAGCTCCAGGCAGCGCTGCACAGTGCTCTGGGCATTCTCCAACTCCCCTGGAAATACCAAACAGACCACTGCATCCAGGGAGCCTCGGGGACTCCGGGGACCCAGTGTGTAAAAGCAGAATGACTTTCACATGTCCTGTTACCCAGAAGTACCCAAGGTGGGCATTTTACCCAGTTCTGCTCTGCTTCACTCAGAGGCTTCCTCCTAAAATGAAAACTACACAGTTTTCGTGAAACCCAAACCTCAGCGTGACACATCCTTTCTCTCTGTCACCCTCAGGGAGACAGCTACGCCATGTTACTGCTCCATCTGGAAGCTCCAGGAAACATTTAAGTCTTGATTCCCACACCTAAGAACAGAACGAAACCTAATAATAATGGTGGCTATACTCGCCACAACTTACGAAGCCCCTGCTCAATGCCCAACCCACACAAAGCACTTCAGAGAAAGGCTGGTTTAATGTTTGCCCAGCCCTGCAAGGTTGGTATTACTATCCCTGTGTTTTAGGTGGAAGGCTGGGACTCCAGTGATATAAGTCATGGAGCTTGCATGGGACAAAGTCAGCATTTACACCGGGCCCTTCAGCTCCTGAGGCGGAGCTCTGAATGCCCTGGCATGTGGGGCTCAGAGACCTCCCTGAAGCCAGGCTGGCCCTTAGCGGTGGCAGTGGCATCCTAGAGGTGGGGTGCAGTGAACTGGGAGGAGAGCCCTCCTCCTTCAGCAGCCAGGTTCCTTAATTGTTCCCACTCCAGGGAAAACAAAAATTGAAAATGTGAGCTCGGGGGTCACCAGAAGCTGGGTGCAAAACATGCGCGGGCAGCCAGGCCCCTTAGCAGCAGGGCCCTCCACCGCATCACTGGTGGGTGCGGCGCACCTGCTCCTAGGCCCCGAACTCCCTGCTCCTTCCCTGGTGCTGCAGAAATGCGAAGATGTCGCCATGGCAACACAAGCAGCTGGAGACCTTGCTTTGGCCCTAAACCTGCTGGCAGCTGCCAGCACCCCTGGGGGGCGCTCCTGCCCTCGCCTGGTACCCAGGAGACCTTGAAGCTGTGGGTAAACCTGGTACCCAGATGAACACTGGGGAGGACTGAGGATGAAGATGGGGGAGCCCTCGGCAGAGTGCCACCCATAGGACGCAGCATCGGAAGGCACACCCCCATGGCATTCTGGATCCTTTGGAAGCCCCCGGACAACAGAGGTCAGCTTGGCTTTCAGGCAGCGGGGGTGAAAGGTGGCAGGGAGAGAGGGGGAGGGAGAGAGAGGACAAGGGGGCACCCACAAGGGTTCTCTCCTTCTTCCCCTCTCTCCAGGATCTGGGCCTTGAGATGGGAGAAGGAAGCCACTCTGGCCACCCAGAGGCTCTGAGAGACTAATGGCACGGGTGTCACCTCCCCACGAGGCCTTCCTGACCACCTGGTAAAAGCTGCAACCCTGCCACAGTCCCCTCTACCCCTTGCTCCGGCTTAGCTGATGTATCTTTACTGGAATGCAGGCTCCATGGGGAAACTTCTGCCTGTTTGATTGCTGCTGTGTCCTAGTATCAGAGCAGTGCCTGCCCGTAAGGGAGGCTCAGTGACTACTACCCAGCACGGGCCAAACCATCAGCAAAAGGCCTGGTGGGAGAGACCCCTGCTGGTGAGGGAGGTCAGGCAGGTTTCTGGGAGACTGGAGGCTGGAAGAAACGAATCGGCAGGCCTGGTGAGTGTGTGTGTGTGTGCGCGTGTGTGTGCGCGTGTGTGTGAGTGTGCATAAAGTATACCAGGCAGGGATCCTATGGACACTAACTCGGGGCAGAAGTCCTGCCAGGTGTCTGAATAGATGAACGGATGTGGGACGATGCGAGTCCCCACTTGGCCACCAGGACCCACAGGCTCACCTGAGAGATATTTGACCTGAGCCATCACATACAGGGGGTCGATCAGAGCCGGTGCTGCCTTCACTACAGGACCCAGGATCACAGCGACTTGTTTAAGAAGTGGAGACACGATCTGGCCTGGTGACCGGGGCTGTAAGGACGTGGTGGGGGGGGCTGTAAGGACGTGTGAAGCTTGCCCCATTCTCAGAGACTCCTGGAGCTCTCAGAGAAAGCTCTCCCAGCAAAGAAACTTCCCTCCACACATATTATCTGCTCTGTACTATCTAGTGCAAGAGCATAGCTCCAGGAATGGAGACTTCGTTTCGTCCATGCGTGTTCCCAGGGCCCAGCTTGGTGTCCAGCACATGGCAGTGCACTCAGCAAACATTTGTGGGGTGACTCACGACGAGGCATGAGGGATACTGGGTGTGTCAGATGCGATCCTTGCTCACAAGGAATCTCGACCGGCTGGGAAAGCAGGACCAACGAGTAGACTAACATACTTCTTAGAAGACTTCTGGAAAAAGGGAACTCAGTTCTTCTCGAGGATAAAGGCTGGGGCACGGGCTGGGGCCCTCCAAGTGAGATCCCTGGACCAGCCGCACTGGCATCACCTGGGGGCTTGTTCCAGATGCAGGGTTTCTCCCACCGAATCAGTACCTGCACTGGAACAACTCCCAGGTGATCTGCGTGCATGCTGCAGGTGGAGTCTGAAAAGCACTGGGCTCCCCAACCCCCTGGAGCTTGGAGCCTCCTGGTGACGGGCCGGGGGAGGTCCCTGCCTCTGTCCGAATCTATGCACCAAACCCCCGCAGTGAAGACACGCCTCCCACTAACCTGCTTGGGGCAGAACAGCAAGTACTCCCCGGCAATGCAGACCAGGAAGAGGGGGTCCAGCTGTTCAAAGTACTCGGAGCCCAGGGGCAGGCCCTGCATCCTGGAGAAGTGCAGCTCCGCCGCCTCCCTCAGCAGCGCCGTCACCTCCTGCTCCCCCTTGCGCTTCTTGGAGGCCAGAAGGGCTTGGAGGAAAACCAGCACCTGTGGAGGCAGCCCCGGGGAGACGATGGTGAAGCAGGGGTCCGGGCCATCGTGGCTGCTTTCTCCTGGAGATTGGGGGTGGGAGGATGGGGGGACACCCTCCTGGAACAACCCACAGCCCCAGGGAGCTCTGACCTCAGACTTCCCCAGGGACTGCTGCACCTCCTTCAGGAATTCCAGCTGGTGCTCAGCCTCCTCCAGGTGGCCCTCTAGGATCTGACACCAGATGACCCCTGGGAGCAGAACAGAACACAGTGAGGAGCCAGCGGGGAAGTGCAGCAAGCAGCCCAGCAGGCCAAGGAGCTTGGTGGGACCGCGGAAGGAAGGGTCTCAAGGTGGGGGACCTTTTCCAACATCTTTGTAAACGTAAAGAGTGATACATGCTCATGGGAGAGAATTAAAATCCTAAGGCAATGTAGAAAAACATCCCCAGCTCGTGCTCTGGCTTTCACAGTGCCTCTCTCCAGAGGTAACCAGCAGTAACGAATCGGGTTATTAATGCAAACACATACTTTCCCATCAGCTCATACAAATCTGCCCCATTCTCTTTAATGAAGACATAACATTCCTCTGTGGGTGTAACCACTGGTTTAACTATTGCCCTGTTGAAGGACACCTCGTCTCCCACTGGGTTTGTTTTCAATGAATAAATATTGCAAGGCGGTGGCGAGCATTTTGTGTGTGTTCCAATTCCCGAAGTGGAGTCGATGGGTCAGAGAACATGCATGTCTAAAACGCTGGCAGGTAAGGCCGGCTTGTCCTCCAGAGATATTTGCACTGATATCACTGCCAAGAACTTGAAAGCATCCTTTCCTCACCACCTCGCAGTCTAAAAAGTGAATTCCAACATGCCTTAATTCATGTTTTTGATTATTAGGAAGAATGAACATCTTTTCATATTGTTACTGTCTTTTCTACTGTGAATTTTCTGTTCACAGCTTTTTCCTGTTTTTCTTTGGGGGTGATTTTTATTTTCCTCTTCAAATATTAAGATTATTAACTCTCTGTAGCAAACATTTTCTATTAGTTTACCATTTACCTTGTAACTATTTTTACTGTCTTTTGCCATCCATTAGTTTTAAATGTTTACATGTTTAAATGTTTACAAATCAGTAAAATATTTTCCTTCAAAGTTTTGGAGTTTGTCGTTCATGCTTAGAATCTCCCAGGGAACCCAAATTCAATTCAATTTTTATGTTTAAATGCTTAATTCATTTGGAATTTATTTTTGACTACGGTGTGAGATGGGGAGCTGCCTTTAGTTTTTTCTTGCTGGACAGCCAGGTATCCAACCATGAGTCCTTGAAATTCTATTGGTTTGAAGTGTCATCTTTATCAGAAGACCGGTTTCTGTCCCATTTTATCTCTTTCATTTATTTCAGCATTGGCCTCAAGCTGGCTTCACTGCTGTTGTTTTGTGATATGTTTTGAATTTGGGAGGACAGGTCCCTTCTGTTTCTACCACTCTTTTAGAGGTGTTTCCTGGCCACTCTGGTGTATTTATTCCTAACTGTCTTCCTAATCACCATCTTGGTTCTCAGTGATATCCGTCCTGCTACTGGGCTCATCCATGGAACTTTTTACTTTGCAATCACATTTTTAATTTTCAAGAACTCTTTTTTAAAAAAATTATTAATTTCAGAGAGAGGAAAGGAGAGGGAGAGAGAGATAGAAACATCAATGATGAGAGAGTTATGCCTCCTGCATGCCCCCCACTGAGGATCGAGCCCGCAACCTGGGCATGTGCCCTGATCAGGAATCAAAGCTTCTTGGTTCATAGGTCGACGCTCAACCACTGAGCCACATCGGCCAGGCTCTTCAACTCTTTTTGGTTCTCTGTATTTTTTTCACGGTAGCATGTTCTTTACTTATTGACGTCCTAGCCGCTGGAGCCAGCCAGCTCTGGAGGTGTTATGTGGGGGCAAGTCTTCTCTGTATCCGGCCACGGCCTCGCACGTCCCGCTTGGCCCCTCATTCAAACTGCCAGGAGGTTTACAAAGGGACTAGACTAATGGGAACGCGCAGCTGGGCAGATTTCCCAAATTGTTAAGGTTACCGATTTTCTCAGCCGGGCCAGATAAGGCGGTGACTCCCGGCTGCGCGTGGGCTCGGCCTGGGCTGGCGCGCGTGGGGCTGCCCCGCGGACTTCCCTCTGGCCTAACGGCCGGGGCTCTCCCTTGGGTGAGGAAATGGGGAAGGACTCAGCGCGCTGGAGGAAGGTTTCAGGGGATTTTGCCCATGTGTCCAGCAGCCACGTCTTTGGGTCCTTCCTGTCCCTGTGGTGTTGGGAAATCACAGGGGTGGGGGTGGCCGGGGGAGGGGTCTGCTCTGCTCCCTCCGGAGCCTCCTGATCCCATCCCTGGTCGTCAGCAATCCTGCCGCTATCTCGCTGGCTGCCCCGTGGCGTATCCTCTGCCAGCCTCCGGTGCCCCCGAGCTTGGGTTTTCCGTTTTTGTTTTCCCTGGAGCTCTCTGGGGGGAGCTGGGCCGCTCTGCCCGCGCTGGCTCGCGGGTTTCCAGACTTGCAGGAGTGTCTATGCATCTGAGGCTCTCCGCTTTACAGCTTCTCTCTGACGTTCTCAAAGTTTCTGGTCCACCGGCAGCGCCTTTCCCCATATCTATGGCTGCATTTATCTTTTTAAAATGTCTTCCATCATTTCCATGGGATCTGGGGGTTAGGAAGAGGCCTGGGCTGAGGAGTCAGCCTGGCGTGCTGAAGGGGAAATGAAGACCGGCCGCTCTGACAATTGTGTGGCACCAACGAGGAGCCTGGAGTGGAGAGAGAAGTGACTTGTCCCAAAAGACACAGTTCCTCAGAGCCAGGGAAAGAGGCAGGCCTGCCTTGAGCACTGGATGGTGCGGCTTCCTCGCCCCAAACGAAACACTGCTGGTTCAGAATTCACCAGGGACCTGGATTGGAGGGCTTTTAAAAAATGTGTGAAGCCCTGGCTGGTGTGGCTCAGTTGGTTGAGCGTTGTCCCGGGCACTGAGAGGTCACTGGTTCGATTCCTGGTCAGGGCACATGCCCGGGCTGCTGACTTGATCCCCAGTAGGGCGAGCACAGGAGGCAGATGATGGATGTTTCTCTCTCCCTCGCCCTTTCTCTTTCTCTAAAAAAATCAATAAAAAAATATTTTAAAAGCCCAGCTGGGTGTGGCTCAGTGGTTGAGCATCAACCTAGGATCCAGGAGATCGCGGTCCGATTCCCGGTCAGGGCACACGCCCGGGTTGTGGGCTCGATCTCCAGTCGGGAGCGTGCAGGAGGCATCTGATCAGTGACAACCCTCTCATCACTGATGTTTCTCTCTGTCTCCCTCTCCCTTCCTCTCTCTGAAGTCAATAAAGATATATTTAAATATATAGATATATTTAAAATGTGCAAAATGAAAATTAGGCTCTGGAAAATTCATTTGACATTTATATAAAGGGGGAGGGGAGAAGCACCTGGACAGACAGGGAAGTAAAACTCTCAGAATTACTGGTGGCCATTCAGCTCAGGGGCCTGTGGGGGGAGGGTCCACAGAGGTGAGGCTAGAGGCTTTGGGGCGGGGGTGCTGGGAGGACTGCCTCCAACACTGGCCTTGTGGGGCCTGAGCAGAGGCAGGGCTGTCTGAGCAGAAAGGGCAGTCTGTCCAGGGGGTCAGAGTATGGACATTGGAGGTCTGATGTAAGTCAGAGTGGCTTTAAACACACTTTGGAGAATTCCTGTGCCTCTTACATCTATGCTTGTAGATTCACGGAAAGGTACCCCATCATACAATGTACCCCTAAACTCACACACCCTCTGGGGACAGTGCTTCCCCACACCTCTCCTTCGGACCCAGGAAGGCCACCCCGCTTGGCTCCCAGCATCTGCCCTCCCAGCCCTCACCCTGCCCAGCCTGCAAAGACCTGTCAAGGCGGCCACACTGTTCTCGTCCAGTTTCATGGCCTCCGAGTACCACATGGACGCCTCTTTCACCTGGTCCTGCAGGATGAAGCAGTAGCCCAGCTCTATGGCCATGCGGGCGCAGGCGGGCGCGGCCATGAAGGTGCGCTCTATGAAGTTACACACCAGCCGTAGAATCACCTGGTGCCTCCCACACTGCAAGGAAAGAGCGGACACACGGGATGGGGAGACCAGTCAGTCCAGCCTGTCTGAACAAGGCCGTGTCAGAATTGGGGGACATTTGGACAGGCTTGGAGTGGGGCCCAGGGGAGCCTAAGAGGCACCCTATGTCCAGGTAGCTGAGTCTGTGTAGCTGATCACTTCCCAAAGAAACTTGCACTGGCCTCTTCAGTGGAACCTGCCTCCAGCCACAGGAACCCGTGTCCAAGGAGTTACCACAAGGTTTTTCAAAAGTTGAAGCTGGGTGACAGAGATCCCTGTGCCCCATTGATGGGAAGTGGTCCCAAGGCCTGTGAGCAGCCACGTTCTCTACCAAGTGCAGAGAATGAGTTGGATAGACTCAGACACAGACACGAAGGGAGAGATGGTCTCCCCATGGCGTTCAACCCCACAGTTCTGGTCCCTGAGGCCCGAGAGCTGCCCCCGTTCCTGGGGCAAGTCCTAGTAAATCCTGCTTTGGGGCTGATGGGCCTGACAGAGTCAGGCTGTCTGGAGGCCTGGCCTGTTTGCACCTTGCCTGAAGTCACAGAGGCCTTCTAGACAGGCCACCTTCCCAGCTCACTTCCACAGAGATTATGGGGTGCCTAGTACCCCAAAGCCAGAGCTGGGCGTGGCTCTGCTGTGCAACAGCCAGACCGCCACCCTCAGAAACCCAAAGAGGCGCCTCCCACTCTAAAAGTGCTGCCAGTCTTATCTCCCTGATCTTCTTAGCATCTCTGAGGGGCACGTGAGCCAAGGAGACAGAGCCCACATGATACAGGTACTGGCCAGAGGCGGGTAGGGGCCATGGGGTGTGGGTGACCAGCCTGAGAGGCCAAGTCTGAACCAGAGAGAGGAGAGGCGGGGTACACAGGAGCTTCCAGGGGGACCATGGGGCTCCCCCTAGGGAACAGCAGTACTTCAGAAACCTGGAAAAAAGCCTTCTTACCAGTCTGCTAACCACCAGAATTTTTTTAAGATGGAGGCTTGGATTTTGGGGTTCTCTAGTCTCTAGCGCCTTAATCAGATTTCTAACGTGATCGGCAGCCTGCAGGGACGAAACAGACAATGTCAGAGGCAATATGTAAAACGGGAGCTGGGAAGAGTTTCTCAACTCTGGCTGTGCATTACCATCAGCTGGGAAACCTACACATACCTACACCTGAGGGCCAGCCCCAGAGACCCAATGTAACTGGACGTGGGGGTCTAGGCATTGGCATTGCTTCAGAGCCCCTAGGTGGAGCTTTCAGGGACATTGTCCACCTGGAGTTGGCACTGCCCCTTGACTTTGTGAAGAGAAGCTGCCCTTTCTGACCCACCCAGGCAGAGCCTGGAGGCAGCTGTCACTGCGCCCACACTGCAGCCCACCGGGCCAGCAGCAGCCCACCTGGGCTGGTCCAGGACCAGATGGTCAGAATGGGTCCCTGGCCCCGAACCTCTGCTCCACTGTGATGGAGTCACCACACTGGTGCCTCTCTGTCATTCCAGTGAATCCTCCCAATGGCCCTGTAAGTCAGTGTTAACCATCTGGATTTTTCAGCCCAGCAGAGGAAGGGTTCAGAAAGGTTAGGGAATTTCCCCGAGGTCACCCAGACAACTAGGTGATTGATCCAATGCCTGTGTCCTTTCCCATTGACTCCTCGGCCCACTCCCTCCCCAGGTGTACAGGGTTCTCAGTTCCCAGCTGCAAAGACGAGCCAGGAGAGAAACCCTGGTTGGGGGGGTCCACTCTGCTCAATAAGTGCAAGCAAGATCAGAACTGGGCAGCCTGGGCCGGGGCAAAGGGTAGATCCCAGGGTTTGAGGTGGGGGCAGAGGAGGGGCAAGACTCGATAACTGCCCTAGAAACTAACCCTCCAGCCAGTCCCCAGGAGGTCTTGCCCAGGGCCCTGGGGTCTTGGGGAGCTGAGGACAGGCCTGTTTCTCTTATTCCTACCCAGGGACAGTGCTTGGTTCCAATTGTAGGCTGTTCCTCTGCCTCACCACAAAATCCACAGTCCCAGGGCTGTGCAGGAGGAACCAGAAGCTTCCCCCTCCTTCCATGACCTCTTTGACCTCTTGAAGACTCGCTTCTACATACTCTCTACAGAGGCAATGCACTTATTCAAAAGGCAGGCTTTTGGCTGAAAACACAAACTTTTTGAAAATAAGAACCTGCCTGGACATTGAGGTTTTTATTAAGAATTCTAGGTGTTTCTGAGTGCATTTGAGGGCAATTTTGGGTTTCTTTGGACAAGGCTTAGGTGCAAATTTGGGTCCAGGTTGTGCCTGGTCAATATCTGATTAATTCCAACCATTCCCTAAAAACAAACAAATGAACAAATAAACAAAAAAACTGGCATTTCTTGAAATCTGAAATACAACCAGGACCTCTATCAGTTAACATAGATCAAGTTGTTATAGTGCACCAGGCACTGTGCCAAGTCCTCTCACTTGTCATCTCATTTATTCCTTATAACAACCTTACAAAGTGAGTGGAATTATCTCCATTTTACAAATGAGGATCCTAGGGCTTATCCAGGTGGAGATACTTGCCAGGTGCACACAGGGAACACCTGGCAGAACCAGAGTCAACCTCACTGCCTGCCTTTCGACCTGTGTCGCCCAGAGACCAAACCAGAGCAGAAATCCTTGGCAGGGAGGGGCGGGGGGAGGGAGCTGAGATCCAGGGCGCACCCTCTGAAGCCTTGGGGATGGAGGTGCTATGAGGGGTTCCTCCTTGGCTGTGTTTGTTTCAAGGCTCAGAACTTACTATGGTCACGTTTCCTTCTCTTGCAAGCTCATGCATGGCTAGAATTTGGCAGGCATCAATATTTCTTTCGTCTTTTTCTAGGATTCTGAAACAGGAAGGGGAGACACGCGAATGGAGAGTGTTCCTAGGCAAGGCTAGGATGGTGCTGCAGCGGCAACTTCTGATTGTCTTCCAGTATCCATTCTCCCCTTCTTTTAATAATTGAATTCCCAAATTGGTGGGGCACATGGCTACCCAGAAAAACTACACTTCCCAGCCTCCCCCTGCAGCTTAGGTGTGGCCACGTGATTAAGTTCTGGCCAACGGGAAGCACGTGCAAGTGCCCAGTGTGATACCCTGGGGTGCCCTCAGGCGTGCCTTCCATGTCCGCTTCCCTGCATCCTGCTGGCTGCAGTGTGGACCACGTGAGCGACGTCCTAGGGATGGCGGAGCAGCGAGATGGGGGGGGGGG